TGGGCGCCCATATAACGCCTCATATGGAGCCATGCCAATGCTCGCTTAGTAGTTGTTGTTATAGGCAAATTCTATCAGCGGCAAATGGTCGTCCCAATGGCCTTCAGAGTCAAGGACACAAGCTTGAAGCATATCCTCTAGTGTTTTGATTGTCCATCAGTCTGAGGGTGGAAGGCAGTACTGAGGGACAGCTTCGTTCCCATGGCTTACTGAAAGTTACTCCAAAATCGAGAAGTGAACCTGGGGTCCTTATCGGACACCACTGTCACTGAGACTCCATGCAATCTGACTATTTTCCGGATATATATTCTTGCCAACTTGTCCAAGTGATCAGTCATCCTGGTGGCTAAGAAGTGGAAAGACTTGGTAAGCTGGTCAATAATTACCCAGATGGTGTCATGTCCTGAGCGTGCCTTAGGTAACCCTGTCACGAAGTCCATGGTGATATGGTCCTACTTCCACTCTGGGATCGGTAAAGGCTGAACTAATCCACCTGGGCGCTGATGTTCTGCCTTGACCTGCTGACATACCAAGCATTTACACACAAAGTCAGCTATGTCCCTTTTCATCCCATTCCACCAAAACTGGGGTCGCATGCTTTGGTATATTTTGGTGCTTCCGAGATATATGGCAAACTTTGAGCTATGGGCCTCTGTCATGATGTCTCTCCTTAACTCACTGTCACTTGGAACACACACCCTGTCCTGAAATCGGAGTAACCCATCGGCGGAGACTCAGAATTCTGAGCTAACTCCCTATTCTACATTGTTCTTGAGGGCTACTAGGGCGGGATCAGCTGATTGGGTTTCCCATGTTCTTTGGATTAACTCAGGCTGGACAGTCACATGCCCAAACATGTGACTCTCCTCAAGTCCTAAAGTCAAACCTATTGTGTTGCCCAAATTTGCCTGCATTCTGAGACCATTAAATGAGTTAAGATACCTGCACTTTTTCTACCGAGTACATCGGCTACCACATTGCCCTTCCCTGGATGGTATAAGATATCATAATCATAGTCCTTAAAAAGTTCTATCCACCTTCTCTGATATATGTTGAGATCTTTCTGAGTGAATATATGTTTCAAACTTTTGTGATCGATATAGATCTGAAAGGTCTCTCCATATAAATAATGGCGCCAAGTCTTCAAGGCGTGTATGATTGTGGCAAGCTCTAAGTCATGGGTAGGATAATTTTTTTCATGACTCTTTAATTGTCTGGAGCCATAGGCTATGACCTTCCCATGCTGCATTAGAACACAACTCAGACCTAGATAGGAGGCATCACTGTAAACTGTATATCCCCCCGATCCACTCGGTAAGGCCAGCACAGGTGCAGTAGTTAGCCGCTTCTTTAGTTCTGAAAAACTTCTTTCACAGTCCCCATTCCACTCAAACTTGGCATTCTTTTTTGTGAGTCGGGTTAGGGGAGCCGCTAGACTAGAAAATCCTTCAACGAACCTGCGGTAATAGCCCGTCATTCCTAGGAAGCTACGGATTTCTTTAACTGATGTCAATTTCTCCCATCCGAGCACCGCTTCAACCTTTTCAGGATTCACTGATACTCCATCCTTTGATATGATGTGCCCCAGAAGGCGGTCTGCTCAAGCCAGAATCCACACTTACTCAACTTTGCATACAGCTTATTTCTTCTGAGAACGTGCAAAACCTAGACTAGATGGTGAACATGTTCATCTCTGCTTTTTGAGTAGACTAGGATGTCATCGATGAACACGATAACAAATTGATCTAACAATTTTCTAAAGACCCTATTCATCAGATCCATGAAGATGGCTGGGGCGTTGGTTAGCCCAAATGGCATGACCAGAAACTTATAATGTCAGTACCTAGTTCGAAAGGCCGTCTTAGGGATGTCTTCTGTCTTTATTTTCACCTGATGATAGCCTGATCGCAGGTCTATTTTGGAGAAGACCTGCGCACCCTGCAACTGATCGAAGAAGTCATCAATCCTGGGAAGGGGATACTTGTTCTTGATTGTGACCCTGTTCAATCCTCTGTAATCAATACATAGTCTTAACGTTCCATCTTCCTTCTTGGCAAAAGTGACTCCAGCACCCCAAGGGGACACACTATATCTGATAAAACCACTGTCTTGTAATTCAGTAATCTGTTTCCTCACCTCCTCCATCTCAACGTGGCTCATGCGGTAAGGAGCAACTGAAATAGGTTGAGTGCTTGGCTGTAGATCTATGGTGAACTCGACTTCCCTGTCCACTGGTAGTCCGGGTAGTTCATTCGAAAATACATCTGAAAAGTCTTAGACTATCGAAATCTCTTGAATACAATTCTCTTTCTTGAGTTTGCCTAATTAGAGAAAATAGTAAGGTTAAGGTACTCGACAAATAAAAAAACTTGCCATCAAGGAATAAATACTAAATGATTTTATTAATTTGTAAATGGCTCCTCATTAGGAGGATTAAATACAACCTTCTTACTAAAATAATATACGGTGGCGTGATACGCTGCTAGCCAATCCATCCCTAAAATTACATCAAAATCCCCCATGCCTAATTCTATTAGGTCTACACTCAATTTTCTATTTGCTATCTCTACGGCACAAGTCCTGTAGACAACTTCTCCCAATAATGTTGCACTCCCAGCAGCAGACACAAATAACATTGAATCAAGTTTATTAGGTAATACATTAAATTTGGATGCAAAAAAAGGTGAAACAAATGAATGTTATGCACCAGTGTCAAACAAAACATGAGCAAGATTGTTACAGATAGTGTACATACTCTGTTCCACGTCTAGGTCGGCATCGGCATCCTGTTGGGTAAGGCTGTAAGCCCTGCCCTGAATAGGAGGTCTTATCTGATTCTGGTTCCTTGGGCACTCTCTCGCATAGTGTTGGGCACTACCACATATGCGACAGGTGTTGTTGAGGCGGTAGCATGGTCGGTCCCCGTGATCCCTGTCGCAATGTTGACAGATCTTACCACGTCCTGCCACTGGAGCTTGAGAGAGAGCCTGGATCACCGGTCTAGGCCTCTTATATTGTTGGACAGGTGCAGTAGATGCTAGTCTGTGGGGTGGAGCTGAGGGTCTGTGGTTCCCTGCTGACTGAAGGAGGGTGTGGAGGCTCTTCTCCATTAACTATGCCTTGGCTAGAACGGCCGAGTATGTCGTGAGCTCCAGTACAAACAAATGTTGTTTGATCTCTGGGTAGAGGCCCCACTGGAACCTCCTAACCTTCCTGCCCTCATCCATCAACGTCTCAGGGGAGTATCGGCCCAAATCTAGGAACTTACGAGCATATTCTGACACTTTTATGTTTCCCTAGACAAACTCCATCTCCTTCAGATGTCGGATGTGCTCCGGGAGGTACTCTACATGAAAGGCTGCTAAGAACTGTTCCCAAGTAATTGGAATAGACAGTGTGGTCTGCTTGAGTTCCCACTAGCAGTCTGCTTCTCCCACCAGCATGTAGGTAGCAAGGGTGACCATCTGCTCGGGAGTCACTCCTAGGGTCTTGAAGGCTTTCTCCGTTTCCGCCAACTAGTAATGGGAATCTTCAAAAGAGGATTCTCCTGCAAAAGTAGATGGGTTCAGTCTCCTGTACCTCTCTATGTAGCCTAGGTCAATCATGGAAAGAGTTGGGTCCCGTAAAATAGGGACTAGGCCAGGCTGAGGATAGACTAGGGGGCCCTGTGGTGATACTGGTTGATATGGTGGGGGCACTAGATTATACTGTGGCGGTGTCGGGCAATACTGTGGCTGGGACACCGAATTATACTGCGGTAGTGGCACCGGGTGGTACTGTGGAGGGGCAAGTTCTTACCGGGGTGGCTCGGGATCCTCTCGCTGCAGTGGTGGCTCAACCTGTGGCAACGGGGGAGGGTCAGGTAGCTCCCATCTCTCCTCTCGGCCCTGCTGGGCAGCAATGAGTCTCTCCAGCATCTCAAATATCTTGTCAACGTCTTCCCGAAGCAAACCATCCCAGGCTGCTCGGTTTAGTGGGGGTCTTCCTGTTCTCATCTCTCTGTACTTGCATTTCACAAGGAATGGTTGAGTAATGATTCATTAGCTTGGTGTTTCTCTAAGTATCATTGTGTAAGGGACGAGTTCGAGGAACGCGGCTCTGATACCAACTGCAATGACCCCAAAAATTTAAAAAGAAATACATATAATAATCTGAGTGCGAAAGCGAAATAAAAAATTAAGGTTAATATCCCTTACACAATGACTTAAAAGTACTTAACAATATCACGGAATAAATTCTCTAAAAAAAATACTTGAAATAAGAAAAATAAAAGAAACTATAAGGTATCTAGCATCTACTTGTTGTCTTCTTATGGATCGGACTCGGGAATCAGGTCCTCCTGATATGAAATGGTTAAATAAGAAATCAGGTACACTAGCCCAGTAAGGACATCACACTATTCACCATCACAGAAGCAAAGGTTGGTAGAAAATTAAAACAACCAATGGAGTAATAGATTTAAATAAATTCATTTATCAATAATCAAACCATTTACCGTCCACTTACCACTGTGAGATTTATAAAAACAACTTATGGAAACAATAACATCATAAATATCATGAATTCATATATAATCTATAACATAGCACATATCATACTTTTATATTCAACTCGTCAAACAACAATTGTCCCTTTTTATCAGCCTACTAGTATCAATGGGGATCCATAGGGGTCCCCACTACATGTGAACTATTTCCCTTAACAAACTTAATTTTAGGGCCGTCCACATACTCCGTCCGGTATGAGCGCCAAAACAATAAACCTCAATACCACATCCGGTATGAGGGTGAAGCGGGCCGTCCCCATACCCCGTCCGGTATGGGCGCCAAATGACCAAGTCTCCATACCTCATTCGGTATGAGACAACGTTCACGGTAAGATTCTCTATGAACCCGGTCCGTCTACCATCTCCCAATATATCTAGTGAGGCTGTCATCTTATCCACTTATCAAATCCCATCCCATTCCTATTTGTTCTTAATCTCCGTTACCAACTCAAACATGAATACATACACTAGTAACGTGCATCCAACAAAACAAGCATATCTTAGATTCCAAAATCAAACAGTAGTGAAGTAAGCAGTGATACATGCATTCAAAATCATAGAATAAATAAACCAGATACCATAATGCATTCAAACTGTAAAATAAATCAAACAGGAATTGATAGAGAAATATGTCTGGTTCAGGCTCCATTAGCAACCGTAATTAATTATGCATATCTATTTAATTTGTACAAAATACAGTATTTTCATTTATTCAGACTTTAATTCCATGATAGAAAATAGGGTGAGGG